CAATTTTTACAGTAGTTGTAATAAATGAAGACATGAAAAGCTGAATATACAGACCATATACAAATACATTTTATTTGTCAGTACATTTTTCGGCTTTTATCTATGCAATTCTTTATATATATAAACACACAAAACCAGAACGCATTTTAAGGTTCTATATATAGTCGAATACGAGATATAAAAAAGATGTCCACCTTCGAATCGTTAGTCTTTTCTTTTATCTCCTTTTATTCCTGTTCTTTGTAAAAATTCATCATTTCTTTTATAATGAAATAATAATCACAAAAATATATACACTTATGTGCATTTTCTTTCAATTAAAAAAAAAAGAATCATAAAGTGAAAATAGAATAGACACGTATGTCAAATATCTTCCACTTGACATAACAAAATCAGTGGGACATATATTCAGCTTTTTATACACTGCATTTTACATATTGAGTTGGCCAGTCAAATTCGTCAGCCAAAAACAATCCGATCAACATTGGTATAAATTTGGTATATCTTTTATGGTCTAGTATATATACGAATAATATCTGTAAAAGAAAGTAAATTCATTTATATATGACCATCTAATAATTTTCTATGTTATTCTACTTTTTGTTTTATAGATAATTACATTCATGTATATATTTATATCGTTTGCTTATAATCCAAGAGGGCCTCGCTGGCCGATGGTATAAGTAGTTCCTCAGCTGTATCACTAGCTTGTCAATACTTAGGTTGTGAGGTCGAACCGTTCGATTCAAATCTGAATTGGATATCTTCCCGGTTTAAAGTGTGGTTCGTGTTGCTAAGTCGTTCGTTTCTATGTTGTGTTTGTGTACTGTTTGTCTTTTGATCGTTTTTATGTTTTTGCCATGGCATTGCCAGTTTGTGTTCGAGTAAAGAGTTTGAATGTCACTTTGGTATCTTTCGTCTCTCTTTTAATTGAATAGAATTGCCAGCATTCCTACTGAAGGTCGATGATTCTCTCCGGGCACTCCGGCTTTCTCCATTAAAAAAACCTGGCCGCCACGAAATAGCCAATAGTGCTGAAAGTTTAGTTAAACACCATAAACCAATCTATCAATCTATAATTCCAAATGATGAATTATCAGTTGTTCATAAACAGCCAATAGAATCAGTTGTACGGCTTCCGGTTATGAATTCACTCAGTTAAATTCTAAAACATTCAACCATTTGGTAAAAAGATTATGAAACAAATTTAAGAAAATTTGAGAAAAAAAAATAACAACAAGCATTCTTCTAATGTTCTTTACTGTCAAAATAGCAAATTCTCACTCGTAATTAGTTCACATGATTCAAAAACAAACATTTAAAAATTTTACCTCTAAAGTTTTAAAAATATATTTTTTACATTACGGGTAAATTTTATTTTGATTATGTTAAATCACTTCTTGGATGTTATAGGTATCTTTCTTGCTTTATGGCTTGTTTGACGCATATTGATTAATTTTGTAAGTGTATACAATTTGATCGATCATTATCGTTTCGTCCTTTTCATATAGCTTAAGTGTTTATCGAATGGCTATCATTAGACGTGTTAGGAAAGGGGTTTAAATACTGCTCTGATGTTAAATACCAATACCGATACAAGATTTAAGTGTGGACTTTCTCAAAATGCAATTGCATTGAAAAGTATCCCGGAGTAGTATAGTTTAGCTTTGTGGTGTGTTTGATATGAAGCGAACGGTTAACGTTGACTCCAATTTTTTTAAGACGTGCATTGGCCTTACGTAGATCTTCATACATTCATTTGTATTTGTTTGATTTGGGAGTGCAAAACAAAACTGAAAAAAAATATATGTAAGGGTCAAGAATGGGAATGGCGGATTCTACGGCCACAAGTCCAAATATATACATTAAATAATATGAGTAGAATATGTAAGGTTGTCTTGCTGGCGCATCGTTTTAATGTTCAAGAAAACACTTTCCACGAGTCGTATGTGATTCGTATTGTCTACTTATATCTGGGTAGGAATGCAATGCATAGACAGAAGGAAGGAAGAAAGAACGGACGGATTGACCCATCCAACCATCACTATATACCGTCCCATTTAGAAAGCGGAGAGTATAGTTAATATTAGGTAGAACAAAATTAAGGAAATCGAGAAAAAAAATTACCCGACATATAATTTAGCAGGCTTTGCAAGAGGTGAAAACGAATATTCCATTTTCAAAATATCCTTCTGACCCAAGGATAATAAAATTAACTTCTCCATATGAAAGTTAAACGCCACTTTCAACAATATTTCAATTTAATCGTGATGTTCTGTTTTGTTGGTGGAGGAAGCCGTGATACCAAGAAAAAAATACTTCCGACCCTTCACCGAAATGTAAATTTAACATGCTTGAATAATGCCCAAATGTGTTAATCTTTAAAACTTAATTCGATAACCTCTTCTGTCCGAAAAACTAAATGACAAAAGTTGATAGAAAGAAAATGTCAGTTAAAATGTGAATAAGAATAATTAATTCACACATTTCAACGTTTTTTTTTAGGTATTGTCCCTTCACAACATTACATTGAATTGCCAGAGTGACGTTTCTAGATAAAATAAAACGATAAAGATTGTCAAATTGAAATAGCTTTTGTTTCATTCTTTTATTTTTTTTTAATTGTCAAGTACACAAATTTCTAGGTTTTTTTTATCAGAATTTTAAGCTACACATTTCTCTAATCCAGAAAATGATTTAAATTAAGGAGATGTGGTATGATTGCCAAAGTAGACAACTATCTACCAGAGACCAAATGACGCAAATGTTTGCAACTATAGGTCACCGTATGCCCCCCCCCCCAAAAAAAAAAAGAGCAAAACCCATCCCGTATAAATGCTATGAAAGGTATATCTTAAATAAATTTCAAATAAACGAACATTTTGAACAAAGATTGACGTAAAAAATCGGATTCGGATGTGATTTAATGGCTGTGTTTTTTTTTATTCTTTTATTTTGATCATTTTGCAGATTTTCCTTGTAATCGTTCAACAACATAGTAAGAAATGGGGGAACAACAATCTTAGAATTATTCGATCACTACTATTAACCAAGGCAATTTTACGATAATATTAATAATGATCGTGTTGTTTTGCTGGATCCTCCTCGGTGTAAATTGTTATTATTTAATTGTATAAAAACATCTCGGCATTATCAAACAAACCCATACAGGTAACTATAAAGAATGATTACCTGGGCTTTTTGAGATGGTCCCCCACAATAACCTGTAGCGGTATTGGTTTTTAACATCAGCGTCAAAATCGTAACAATTGTAAAATTATTTTGTTGTGTTGTTGGTAGAGAAGAAAAGTCATAATTGTCATCGGTTAATTACTTTTAGTTCGACTCACCCATTTATACACAGATCTAAACGCAACATTAGATATAAAACTTAAAACAAAACATAATAAAGAACGAAAAACATGAAAAGGATATGGTAAAATCTACGTACATGGTGGTATTTTTGGAGCCAGTGGAAACAGCAGACTTACTGTAAATCAAAATAATTTTGGCGAGCAATTTTTACCCGACCTTCGCAAGTTGAAATACTGCGAATATAACTCTTTGGGAATGTGCAAAACTCGGGGTCTTCTGCCTTTTAAATAAATACGTCGACCAAATCAGAATATTCGCAAAGCCATAAAGAAAGGGCTGAACGCAGAAAATAATTTTGTTAACAGTTTTACAGAAACACGAATACCCCCTTAACAAAATAACAATAGTAAATGAAAAATCGTCCTTTTTCATAAATTTTTGTATAGAGTTTTCGTGTGATTTGAAATATCCAGATCTAGAAAATGAGTTATTGATATTAACAGTAGGTTTATTTTAAGTCAGTTCCATTGAGCAAATTTCCAAAGTATAAATAGAGAATTGTTTATCATTTAAAGCAAAATATTTTATGAAAATGTTCCTAAATGTTTCTCTTAAATGGAATTTTGACGAATCTCAGTGAGTTTGGCCATATTCTATGATTTAGAACTATACAAAAACAAGTCTGCTAGTAAAGGGGGTGTACAAAGTGTCCACAGGAATACCCACAATCGATAAAATGTATTGCCTAACGTACATAGATTTTGTCAAAGAGAAAGTTAACAGGTTGTAATTATCTCATCACAGTTCTAGTCTAGCATATTTACCATTTTAATTACAGAAAAAGGCAGCAAACAAATTTGCAACTACATTTTTCAAAGGACAATTTGATTATATAAGAAGACTTCTGTTTGCTACAATTGTGTGGAAATGTTGTTCAGAAAATAGAAAGTCATATCTGTCCACCGAATGGAAAGGACCACCAAAGCAGGTAACTTATCTAAAACATCAAACGAGTTTTTTACACTTCAAAAATAATTAATTCCATTATTTTCAAATGCTTTATTAGAAAAATTCATTATAACATTTGCTTTCATTGTAGTTGGGGAACTACATTGTAGTTAAAAGGACAGAACGAACATCTAATATAGAAGCAGAAATGCTAAGATAATGTTAACATGACAAAATACTGATGTTACCTACCCAGCATGCCTCTCATGCTAAGATAATGTTAACACGACCAATCACTGCTGTTACCTACCCCGGTATGCCTCTCATAAAAGATAATGTAAACATTACCAATCATTGCTCTTACCTACCAAAAGTACGCCTCTCCTGCTAAGACAATGTTAACATGACCAATCACTGTTGTTACCTACCCCGGTTTGCCTCTCATGCAAAGATAATGTTAACATGATCAATCACTGTTGTTACCTACCCCAGTTTGCCTCTCATGCAAAGATAATGTTAACATGACCAATCACTGCTGTTACCTACCCCGGTATGCCTCTCATAAAAGATAATGTAAACATTACCAATCATTGCTCTTACCTACCAAAAGTACGCCTCTCCTGCTAAGACAATGTTAACATGACCAATCACTGTTGTTACCTACCCCAGTATGCCTCTCATGTTAAGATTATGTTAACATGACCAATCACTGCTCTTACCTACCCAAAGTACGCGTCTCATGCTAAGACAATGTTAACTGACCAATCACTGCTGTTACATTTACCTACACCAGTATGCCTCTCATACTAAGACAATGTCAACATGACCAATCACTGCTGTTACATACCCCAGTATGCCTCGCAAGCTCAGACAATATTAACATGACCAGTCACTGCTGTTACCTACTCCAGTATGCTTCTCATGCTACGATAATGTTAACATGACTTATCACTGCTGTGACCTACCCTAGTATGCCTCTCATGCTAAGCCGACATAAAACACTTACTGCTGTTACCTACACCAGTATGTTTTTAATGCTAAGATAATATTAACATGTCCAATCGCTGCTGTTACCTACCCCAGTATGCCTCTCATGCTAAGATACTGTTAACGTGACCAAATACTGCTGTTACCTACTCCAGTATGCTTCTCATGCTAAGAAACTGTTAACATGACCAATCGCTGTTGTTACTACCCAAGTATGCCTCTCATGCTCAGACAGTGTTAACATGAACAAGCACTGCTGTTACCTACCCATGTATGCCTATCATGCTAAGCCGACATAAAACACTAATTTTTGTTACCTACCCCAGTATGTTTCTTATGCTAAGTCTACATAAAACAATCATTGCTGATACCTATCCCAGTATGCTGCCTTTCATGTTAAGATAATGTTAGCATACCCAATCACTGCTGATACCTATCCCAGTATGCCTCTCATGCTAAGATAATGTTGACAAAACTAATCACTGATGTTACCTACCCCAGTATGCCTCTCATGCTAAGATAATGTTGACAAAACCAATCACTGATGTTACCTACCCCAGTATGCCTCTCATGCTAAGATAATGTTGACAAAACCAATCACTGATGTTACCTACCCCAGTATGCCTCACATGCTAAGATAATGTTGACAAAACCAATCACTGATGTTACCTACCCCAGTATGCCTCTCATGCTAAGATAATGTTGACAAAACCAATCACTGATGTTACCTACCCCAGTATGCCTCTCATGCTAAGATAATGTTGACAAAACCAATCACTGATGTTACCTATCCCATTATGCCTTTCATGCTTAGTCCACATAAAACACTCATTGCTGTTACCTACCCCAGTATGCCCCTTATGCTAAGCCGACATAAAACACTCATTGCTGTTACCTATCCCAGTATGCATCTTATGCGAAGCCGACATAAAACACTCACTGGTGTTACCTATCCCAGTATGCCTTTCATGCTAAGTCGACATTAAACACTCACTGGTGTTACCTATCCCAGTATGCCTTTCATGCTAAGTCGACATTAAACACTCGCTGCTGTTACCTACCCCAGTATGCCTTTCATGCTTAGTCCACATAAAACACTTTATAACTTTTGAAATTAAAATAAAACAAGTACCTGTTTATTTACACGGTCATTTCTGGTCTTGTTTCGACATTCATAACTGCAATTTAAAGGAAATACATCTGTGTGAACGTGTGATACGATTCAAACTATATTTTTGATAATCTGAATCCAAAAATTCGAAACATTCGTTGCAGATCCTAAAACAAATGATGTAAAGACGGTTGGTTTTTTGGGTTTATTGAATTGATGCTTTCAAACGTTCTATAATTTTGACTTTCCAAGCATTTGGTGAAGTATTTTTGTTGTTGAAACATTTTATATTTCTCATTATCCAAACGTTTGGTATAAAGCGTACCTAGTGAAGTGTAGTTCGTGAAACACTTGTCACGTGTCCTGAAATCCATACTTACGTATTATTTCGTCTTTGTGCGATGTAAAGCTTGACAAGTTGAGAAGCCACTAGTCTATTGCTGGAGACAATACCTCTAGATTATTCTGGGTATTTTTGTCGTCCGGTTGTTGTCTCATTGACGTACACCTATATCTTATTTCATATAAGCACATGGATATTTTCCTTTCTGAAATAATTTTGGGTCCTCAAGGCTCTTCAACTTCGTATTGGATTTGGCTTTATAACTTGTTTTATTCAAGCGTCACTGATAAGTCTTTTGTAGATGTAACGTGCATCTGGCGATTGAGAATGTTTGTTGTATCTATTAGTATTTAAAAGATGATATAACAACACAGTCACTTTATAGATCTAATATTTATTTTACTCTGGAGACTTTCTTTTCGTTAGTAATTTCTGACTTAGATTTCAGATAAAAATCACTATGAAACAAACTTACTTCACCCTTATCACCTTTAAGTCCCTTTCTCCCTTTCCTTCCTGTAAAACAAATATAGGGACGTTTCTTAACAACGTTGTGAATCTGGTCGTATCAAAGTGAAAGAAATTTAAATAAAGTACATTCTGTCAGTGAGCCAAACGTTAAAATATCTTAACATGAAGAAAAAATAATATGCATTCATAAAAAAAATCAAATATTTATTCATAGAAAGAAATATACAGTAATAACTATTGTTCATTAAACACAATATTGACAGTATATTCTCTTATGGTTGTGACCTGTTATTTATAAAATATTAAAGGTTTTTTTTTATCAGATTTCTTCCCGTATGCACATATTTTTACAAAAGGATCAAAGAACATTTTAAATGATCTGACGACACACTTTCCAAATTATTTTCGATGAAAGACAATATTATTTTTTTAGGAAGGTTATAACATCTGGTTATTGAAGGATTTTGAGGTACCCTGTAATAGCGTACGTGGCCATCGAATTTTAATGTTTCATAGTCTCATGTTGAAGGAGCTTAATTTTCTATACTAACGTCTAATGCAACTGACTTATAATATAAATTAAACTTCTACTGTATTTTCCATACTTATATGAAAAAATAGGTGGCTCTATGTTATGAAGTTAAAGGAATGAAATTCTGAATGGTAAAGTCATTTAATATACTAGATCAGTCGATAAAATCATTTATTCTATTGCACGCGTACATTCATACAGGTGACTGGAAAACGATTTTGTATCACACTCGTTGAAAATATTAAGAAATCTACGAAATGGTATTTGACACAGTTAGGATAATAATAGATGTGTATCATTCATTTGTTTATCAAATTTGATACGTTTGTCATATGAACCTATGCTTATATATACGTTGTCTTTCATTAACAGTATTTACGCCATCAATAGAGGAAGTTCAAGATATGTTCCTTTGTCTTCTCAAGATATTAACATTTAGACCAAGGGGATATATTGTCTGTAGTCGTTTAATTCAAGACAGTTCGCAAATTAAACAGCTCCTCTCGCAGGAATTACTTAACGTAGATGATAGATTTTTTATGAGTACTGAATGCCTGTTTAATACAAGCCATTTGACCAGATTTTCACAAGTTTTCATTATTTTTTATGATTAAGTCAATTTCTGAAATACTACTTCTCTTAGGTGGATATAATTTGATTATGTAAGTCTAATATCACCTTGATGTCTGACTGTCAAATGTATGTACATTTCAAATGGACCCAAAGCATTCAGACGACACCATTTGCATTGGAAAGCATAAATAGTAAAAATTCATATGTCATACGAAAATACATTCTCTGATGTTCACTAGTCATAACGGGTGGAAAGTCCATGGGACTTTTTCCATGACTCTACAAGGGATATTTTAGGGTCCCAGTCTCATATTGAGATCAAGATTATCAGTTTTATTTTACACCTCCCCACCCCCTCCCCGATAAAACAATAATAGAATAAAGTAAGTAAATTCATAAAAACTTCATATAAATTAGATCTTACCTTTAGCTCCTTTAGGACCGGGTTCTCCTTTAACTCCTTTCAAGCCTTTCTCACCTAATCCTCCTTTTCTTCCTTTTTCTGTATTTTGTTGCCCCTTTGCTCCTTTTACGCCTTTCAGTCCTCTAAATCCCTTATAACCTTTTTGTCCTTTGTAACCTTTATATCCTTTTTGTCCTTTGGTCCCTTTATATCCTTTTTGTCCTTTGGTCCCTTTATATCCTTTCATTCCCTTATAACCTTTTGGTCCTTTGAGTCCCTTGTATCCTTTCTGCCCTTTCATTCCTTTGTATCCTTTGAGCCCCTTCTCTCCTTTATTTCCCTTTTGCCCCTGCATTCCTTTGTAACCTTTATTACCTTTTGATCCTTTCATACCTTTATAACCCTTTATTCCTTTAATACCCTTATAACCCTTCTGTCCTTTAACCCCTTTATTGCCTTTCATTCCCTTTTCTCCTTTATATCCTTTCTGTCCTTTATAACCTTTGTTGCCCTTTTGACCTTTATAACCTTTATATCCTTTTTGTCCTTTAAAACCTTTATAACCTTTTTTGCCTTTATATCCTTTTTGTCCTTTTTTACCTTTATATCCTTTGTTTCCCTTCATTCCCTTTTCTCCCTTATGTCCTTTTTGTCCTTTATAACCTTTATTACCCTTTTGTCCTTTGTAGCCTTTATAACCTTTGTGTCCTTTTTTCCCTTTAAATCCTTTCTGTCCTTTAATTCCTTTAATTCCTTTCTGTCCTTTATATCCTTTAATTCCTTTCTGTCCTTTATATCCTTTATATCCCTTTTGTCCTTTGAGTCCTTTATAACCCTTTTGACCTTTGAGTCCTTTATAACCTTTTTGACCTTTGTTACCTTTATATCCCTTTATTCCTTTGAAGCCTTTTAATCCTTTTTGTCCTTTATAACCTTTGTCACCTTTAAGACCTTTGTAACCTTTATATCCTTTCTGTCCTTTGTTACCTTTATTTCCTTTCATTCCTTTATTACCTTTGTATCCTTTTTGTCCCTTATATCCTTTAAAGCCTTTATGACCTTTATATCCCTTAGTTCCTTTTTGTCCTTTGTATCCTTTCATCCCTTTCATTCCTTTATATCCCTTATGTCCCTTTTGTCCTTTGAATCCTTTATAACCCTTTTCTCCTTTGTATCCTTTGAATCCCTTTTTACCTTTGAATCCCTTTTCTCCTTTATAACCTTTCATTCCTTTATATCCTTTGTTTCCTTTCTGTCCTTTATAACCTTTATTTCCTTTCTGTCCTTTGTATCCTTTACTTCCTTTTTGACCTTTATATCCTTTAAAGCCTTTCATTCCCTTGAAACCTTTAACGCCTTTCTGTCCTTTAACGCCTTTAATTCCCTTCTGTCCTTTATAACCTTTATTTCCCTTTTGCCCCTTATCACCTTTATATCCCTTCATTCCTTTATAACCTTTATAACCTTTGTGCCCTTTATTACCTTTGTATCCCTTTTCTCCTTTGTAACCCTTACTACCTTTTTGTCCCTTATATCCTTTTAAACCTTTTGTTCCCTTTTGTCCTTTGTATCCTTTTTGTCCTTTAAAACCTTTGTGACCCTTTTGGCCCTTTAAACCTTTGTATCCTTTTTGTCCTTTCAATCCCTTATAACCTTTTTGTCCTTTATAACCTTTGTATCCTTTTAGTCCTTTCAATCCTTTAAGTCCTTTTTTTCCCTTTTCTCCTTTATATCCTTTTTTGCCCTTGTAACCCTTAGATCCCTTTTGTCCCTTTTGACCTTTATATCCTTTCGTTCCCTTATAACCTTTGTATCCCTTCTGCCCTTTGTTACCTTTGTAACCCTTTCCTCCTTTGTAACCTTTATAGCCCTTTTCTCCTTTATTTCCTTTAAAGCCTTTCGTTCCTTTTTCGCCTTTGTATCCCTTTTGTCCCTTTTCGCCTTTAAATCCTTTGTATCCTTTCATTCCCTTTATACCTTTATATCCTTTTCGTCCTTTTTCTCCTTTATAGCCTTTTTGACCCGTGTAACCTTTATTACCCTTTTGTCCTTTATATCCTTTTTGTCCTATCACTCCTTTTTGCCCTTTTAATCCTTTTACTCCTTTTAAACCTTTGTAACCTTTCTGACCTTTGTAGCCTTTAAATCCCTTTATTCCTTTGTAACCTTTAGTTCCTTTTTGTCCTTTGTAACCTTTAGTTCCTTTTTGACCTTTGTATCCTTTGAATCCTTTCTGTCCTTTGTATCCTTTATATCCTTTCTGTCCTTTGTTTCCTTTTAAGCCTTTTTGTCCTTTGTATCCTTTATCTCCTTTTATTCCCTTATTACCTTTATATCCTTTTTGTCCTTTGTAACCTTTATAACCTTTTTGACCTTTGTCACCTTTGTATCCTTTTTGACCTTTGTAACCTTTATTGTCCTTTTCACCTTTATATCCCTTGTATCCCTTCATTCCCTTGCTACCCTTATATCCTTTTTGTCCCTTGTACCCTTTAAAACCTTTTTGTCCCTTTAAACCTTTAAACCCTTTTTGTCCTTTATATCCTTTATAGCCTTTTAATCCTTTGCTTCCGTTAATACCCTTTAGTCCTTTATAACCTTTAAATCCCTTTTGACCTTTGTAACCTTTGTTACCCTTCACGCCTTTGTAGCCTTTGTTGCCTTTATATCCTTTCATTCCTTTATGGCCTTTCGATCCTTTTTGTCCTTTTATGCCTTTATATCCCTTCATGCCTTTTTTCCCTTTGTCGCCGATTGCACCTTTGGATCCCCTTTGTCCGTTTTCTCCATCTTTTCCCAGCCGGCCTCTACGTCCCCTTCGACCATTGCGGCCTGTTCTGCCCTTTTCACCCAGTTCACCGTCCATACCCTGTGGACCTAGCATTCCTATAAAAGATAATAAATCAATTATAAATTTTAATCATTCTATTTAAGTATGTATTTGCATTTAAGAACTGAATGCTTTTTTTTTTAAATTTATACGAAATGATAGCCAGTGACCATCATATTTGTATGAAGCACAGAAGCATTCAATTCTTATATTTACAGATTATCGAAATAAAAAAAAATTATGTTTTTCACATTTTGAATCAAGGTGAGCTAGCGACAAGAGCAAATCTGTGCGTTATGTGTGTAATCTTTATTTTTTCCAGATATCTAAATACCCTTGTAAAAATTGGTTAAAACGCCTATATATCACTTTCAACGTATCATGCTTTGCATGGACATCAGCCCGTTTTGTCCGGTTTAGAACCTATCTGACAACTTGCAAAGGGGAACAGCTTGTGTTGAAACATTGTATTAAAAGAATTCAATCGGTAATTTATTATTACACTAATCAATTTAATAAAAAAAAATAAAAACATAGGCTTATTCAACATAATCAGAAATCAATTTGCTTACATTTATTTTTCCTTACAACTTAATTTGTAAACTCTTTGATATCGAAGTAAGCCAAAACATAACTATAAGTTGACCCCAGCCGAGCTCGAGTTTAACAGATCAAGAAGAATAAGAGGAGGAATTCCAAGGCAGCAGTAATTTATCGATGCTCAAATCATATAAATCCATCAAGAAAATACAATTCCAGGTAAAAAATAACAAAAACTGACAGAATCATATGAATTCTAAAAGGGGTAAAACCGTGTGCGTTTCCTGGTATGCATGCATCAGCCACCAAGAAGACGGAGAAGAATTCACAATTCACCAGCAAATCTTCCTTCGTTCCAGGTGAGACACAATTCCTTCGCTTGCAGTATAAAAAAGTATATGATTCAGGAGAGAGCTAAACTGTTGAATTAAATCAAGCGCACCGCACAGTACAGATCAATGTTGAAACATCAAAGTACATACAGATTACTTTAATAATGTGAATGGAAAGAAAATTTGAAAGACTTTTTGAGAATTGCTCTCATGATGTATCATACATGTAAATTGTAAATACATTTTAGGGGTATTGGCCCTACCTCTGGTTTTACGGAAGCTTTTTGCTTGTTAGTTATTTATTAAATAGTCATTTTAAATCATTATATTTGATAGCTTCAATACAACTATTCAATCACCTTTTTCATATTTTAATCAAACGAAATTTACCCTACCTCTGTGATTAACGGAAGCTTTTTGGGCAAATTTGCCCTATCTCTGTGTTACGGAAGCATTTTTGGCAAATTTGCCCTACCTCTGTGTTTTACGGAATCATTGTGCGAAAATGTGCCATATCTCTGTGTTTTACGGAAGCTTTTGTATGAAATTTGCCACACCTCTGTGCTTTACGGAAGCATTTTCAATTTTTCATCTCACTAGATAATTCAGGTTAGGTGAACGAATCTATCCCATCGAATTTGAAACAAAGGATACAACAGAAACATTTAAGTATGTCTCATATCTTGACTTACATCTACAAATTGACAATGAGGGTCGGTTGAGAACAAAAAAATACGACAAAAGAGATGATTCCAGCTTCCCAATTGTGAACTTTCCATTTCTAAGTACCAACATTCCAGCAGCGACTTCATACGAAGTATATATCTCTCAGTTGATACAATATTCCAGAGCTTGCATCTCCTATAATGATTTCCTTGATAAAGAGTTGCTGCTCACAAAGGAAGCTATTAAATCAAGACTTCCAAGTGGTTAAGTTGAAAGTTGTTTCCTTTTCTTTTTTTTTGCTTTTTGCCATGGCGTTATCAGTTTATTTTCGACTTCTGAGTTGGAATGTCCCTTTGGAATCTTTCTCCAATCCTTTTGAAACAAGAATGATAAGATGTTAACAAGAATCAGGAAATACGTTGGATTTGTTTATTTTTTATTTATTTTAAGTTAAGTATACATACCCTTTGAGCCTTTTGTTCCCAAAGCACCTTTCATTCCTACTTCTCCTTCAATTCCTTCTCCCTTCATGCCCGTGGGCCCCTTTGGTCCGGTTGGACCAGGAATTCCTATATTAAAAAGGCAAAAAAAAAGAAAGAAAGAATCTATCAAATTAAAAAAAACTATTTTGTTGTACTAGATAAGTGTTTCACAACACTATTTTGATACTAGCATACCACTTTTTTGAACGGAAATACATGTTTTGTGTAAATGCAGTAGTTTTAATTGTTTTTTGTTTACATTTAACAATCATTATTTAATACACGATATGGTGAAATATGTAAATACACTATCTTTGGTTACAATGTCATTCTAAAAGGCTCTTCCTACTTTCAACACTCACATCATATAAAAGCATACTAATATAGAGCAACACCATACAAAAAAAATGTGGAATTATTACCAATGAGACAACTATCAAAACGTCACAGTCCAAGTGAAGCGGATTTAAACAAATATAGGTTGCCTTACGGCCTTCCAAAATGAGCATACCCCATACCGTATAACAAGGCTATAAAAGGCCACAACATTACAAAATGATAAACAATAAATGAAAAAAAATTTCACAGACAGCAACCAACGACAACCACTGAATTACAGACTCCTGACCATGTTTACTTATAAAGTTGTTAAGACTAGTTGTTATGTTAACTGTAAACACTGGTCAATCTATATTACAAGTATCGTACTTTGATGATATCTACATGTCTATATTTGTATGCTTTGATGATATCTACATGTCTATATTTGTATACTTTGGTGATATCTACATGTCTATATTTGTATACTTTGATGATATCTACATGTCTATATTTGTATACTTTGGTGATATCTACATGTCTATATTTGTATACTTTGATGATATCTACATGTTTATATTGTATACTTTGATGATATCTACATGTCTATATTTGTATGCTTTGATGATATCTACATGTCTATATTTGTATACTTTGGTGATATCTACATGTCTATATTTGTATTCTTTGATGATATCTACATGTTTATATTGTATACTTTGATGATATCTACATGTCTATATTTGTATGCTTTGATGATATCTACATGTCTATATTTGTATACTTTGATTATATCTACATGTCTATATTTGTATGCTTTGATGATATCTACATGTCTATATTTGTATGCTTTGATGATATCTACATGTCTATATTTGTATACTTTGGTGATATCTACATGTCTATATTTGTATACTTTGATGATATCTACATGTTTATATTGTATACTTTGATGATATCTACATGTCTATATTTGTATGCTTTGATGATATCTACATGTCTATATTTGTATACTTTGATTATATCTACATGTCTATATTTGTATGCTTTGATGATATCTACATGTCTATATTTGGACACTTTGATGATATCTACATGTCTATATTTGTATGCTTTGATGATATCTACATAAAATTGAGAATGGAAATGGGGAATGTGTCAAAGAGACAACAACCCGACCATAGAACAGACAACAGCAGAAGGTCACCAACAGGTCTTCAATGCAGCGAGAAATTCCCGCACCCGGAGGCGTCCTTCAGCTGGCCCCTAAACAAATATATATACTAGTTCAGTGATAATGAACGCCATACTAAACTCCAAATTGTACACAAGAAACTAAAATTAAAAATAATACAAGACTGACAAAGGCTAGAGGCTCCTGACTTGGGACAGGCGCAAAAATGCGGCGGGGTTAAACATGTTTATGAGATCTCAACCCTCCCCCTATACCTCTAGCCAATGTAGAAAAGTAAACGCATAACAATACGCACATTAAAATTCAGTTCAATGTCTATATTTGTATACTTTGATGATATCTACATGTCTATATTTGTATACTTTGATGATATCTACATGTTTATATTGTATACTTTGATAATATCTACATGTCTATATTTGTATGCTTTGATGATATCTACATGTCTATATTTGTATACTTTGATGATATCTACATGTCTATATTTGTATGCTTTGATGATATCTACATGTACATGTCTATATTTGGACACTTTGATGATATCTACATGTCTATATTTGTATGCTTGTATTGTTGGGTTGCTATCAAGTTGAATTTTAGCCTTGATCTACTTTAATATTAAACGTTAACTCACCCATTACAATAGCTCTCGGTCGCACTAAAAGCAAAACATGAAACAATGTAATACATGAAATGCAAGTCAAATTGATAGATTAAGAAGTCTAGATTCCTTTTTAATAGAAACATCAATAGAACCTGCATGAGGACAAGAAACTTTTCATAAACTTATTGAAAAATTTGTTGTATTTATTTGTTCTATGTAATTTGTATTTTGTACTTTGAGGGGTTTAGCTGTCCTGTTATATTTACTTTTTTTAACACTCGCAAACATTATATATACATTAACGCTTATTTTCCAAACATTTGGTTTCCATAGTATATAATATAAAAGGTTTATTACTTTTTAAACAGTGTTCAATGTGAAAACAAAATATATGGCCTCTGATTACGATACAAAGTGAATAATGCCTAGTAGCATAGCTGTCTGTATCAATCCGAAAGATCTGGAACGCTTTACGTAGAGTAAGTAAAGGGTATCCGGAGATTTCATTTGAGAGTTATTTCCCTTTATGTATTTGAAATATATGTAAACTTTAATTATAATACGCAAACCGTAAGTGATATGGTATTTTGATTTGAGGTTCTTGGTCCACTAAAAAGAAAATGAGATTAAGGTCATAGGTAAAGGCCATGTACATGTACTATTGTTTTGCTTGTTATTGCTGTTCATCAGAATCCATAATAAATATCCACGAAAGGTTTTAATAACATGTATAGTGATACAACTCATTTCCCATGCACAGTAGAAATCTAGGGTCTTTTTATTTGAGGTTCTTGCTTTTAGATGATCTTAACACTAAGGTCAATGTCAAAGATCAATTTGACGTTTTAGATTTTGACCTTTGTTACAACTTCATATTGATGGAGTATAAAATTATTATTCAAAATTTGATGACTATGTTGAACGCATTTATCCTATCGAACTTGAAATAAAGGGTATAACAGATACAGTTATGTTGGCCTCATTCTAGAAAATCACAATGATTGTCGGTTGAAAAAAGATTTTTACAACAAAAGAGATGATTTCAGCTTCCCAATTGTGAACTTCCTATTTCAAAGTAGCAACATTCCAGCAGCACATCTCCCAGTTGATACGATATTCCAGGTCTTGTATTTCCTATCATGATTTCCTTGATAGAGGGTTGCTGCTCACAAGGAATCTATTAAATCAAGAGTTCCAAGTGGTGAAGTTGAAATCGTTCCTTCGTAAATTTTACGGACGCCATCACGAGTTGGTTGACCGTTATGGAACATCCGTTTCATAGATGACAACGGATATGTTCTAATTGTCGTAACTACAATCCCGTCCCCTTTTCCCCGAATGTGACCTACCGAATAAGAATAATCACTGGGTTTTTACTAACATGAGCAACACGACGGGTGCCACATGTGGAGCAGGATCTGTTTACCCTTCCGGAGCACCTGAGATCACCCCCAGTTTTTGTTGGGGTTCGTGTTGCTCAGTCTTTAGTTTTCTATGTTGTGTTTTGTGTACTGTTTGTTTGTCTTTTTCTTCTTTTTAGCCATGGCGTTGTCAGTTCATTTTCGACTGTGAGTTTGAATGTCCCTTTGGTATCCTTCGCATCACTTTTATAAATCCATGCCGTCTTTCGCAATAGGTTGAAAGACTATAAAAAGGTCAACAGGAAGTTACCATAAGTTATGTTAACCGGAAATACTCAATTTGTCCACTAATTTATGTAAAGGTATCTAAAACAATATATTTTTGGAACCAGTGTGATGTAACTTATCATATTAATTATTATAGAATTATATAATATAATTATATAAGTATTCGTCTTCGTATGAAACCGTAAGTAAAAAAGTGTCTCCTTAATTTCATGAAAAATTACATCCAAACCGTATATTGTTGGAATGACTGTTTAATATAAGCTTCTTAATTTTACACCGGAAGGGACGTTGACTAAACCGGAAGTAGCTTTTACCTCTCTTTATTCATGAAAACAGTTCCATAAAGTATGTATTTTTCGAATCAGTGGGAGATATGATATTTTCTGACACCAGAGCTACTAATTTTAATTTTATGTCTCATCAAAACTTAATTTGATTTGTGTGGAAAGATTTTTAATCATTCTTAAACAATTGTTTATTTGATTTATCTTAAATCTATTACCGATCTTAAAACTTGTAAAATATTAATCAATCTTAATTGACTAGGATTTTCAGTTTTCCTGCCGAAGGTCGGTGGTTCTCTCCGGGCACTCCGGCTTCCTCCTCCAAATAAAAATGACCACCATGAAAAAGAACAAACGTGGTAAAAGTTGCGTTAATTACCAATCAATCAATCAATCAATAAAAAAAAATCAAAACCTACCAAATTGTAGGACTTATTTCTGTCAATGGACATACGCCTTCAGCCAGCTTACCGACTTAACATTATGAATAATTTTTATTGTCGTAAAGCATATAAAATAAAGCTTGTAACAAACTAAATATAAATTACAACATATATACATTGTGCAACAAATCTTATAACAATCAGTTAATCAAGCGTCCTTACATCATGCTTATTAAAAAATCTATCATATACTAGTACCCGACGGTTATATAGCAAACAATATATCATGAACAAGTTTTCGATGGGTATATAGCAAACAATCTATCACATACAGGTATTCGACGGGTATATAGCAAACAATCTATCATATACTAGTTTGCAACGTGTATATGGCAAAAAAATTATCATATACTAGTATTCGACGGATATATAGCAAACAATTTATCATTAACTAGTTTTCGACGTATTTATGGCAAACAATCTATCATATACTAGTTTTCGACGGGTATATAGCAAAAAAATCTATCATTAACTATTTTTCGACGGGTATATGGCAAAAAATCTATCATATACTAGTTTGCGACGGGTATATAGCAAATAATCTATCATGAACTAG